ATCTTTTTCTTAAACAAACCATTAAACCACACACTCTACTGAGCGTACTCAACACGAAATTAATAACTAGTAATAAACATGAACACCTATTAATATTTAATTCCTATCACTCCCCGTTGACTAGGTAACTAGTCAATACACAAATAAACAAAATAAATTGTAACCTATACACAACAAAAACATTCAAAAGAAATAATAATCATAAACTAATTGATAATACATAACATACAGAATAATAAGCATAAACAATAATTATAAACACTCACAGATATACTGAGTTTCTATGAGAGTTAAGTTAATAATTCAAACAGAATGTGCAAGTATTTTACTCTTAGCTTGAATGGCTGCAGCTCTCTGCACAGACTCATGTTCCTCGGTATGATCTTCTAAGATTGACTCATTAACTGCTTCCCTGTCTGGTATTGGGACAACTTCTGGTTTTGAAGTAGTATCTTTTTGTGTGTGTCCTGTACCTACAATGGATAAAGCTTCTGTACAGGTCTCCTTAGTAATTTAGAACATTTACCTCCTGTATAGACACTAATTACAGCTCCTTGATAAATAAGCAACAAAGATGAATGTAAAAATAGGTCATGGAATACAAATACTTCATGATCGAACCAATCACTGGATCTAATCTCAGACGAAAGGTAGAATTGTTTCTTAGTCATTTTTGATGAACTTTTTGCTAAGACTTGTTTGACCCAAAACATCTACTGACAAGAAGCCAAAATTTTGTGGGAAATCCAGCCAAATTATCAGAAACTTCTACAAGACATAAAAACAATTATTTTATTGAATTCTGCCAACTATTTCATATTGGATTACAGTTTGGTAATAGGAACCTTCTAACTAGACTATATATGTAATGAACTATCAGGAGGGTACCTGACCTTTATAATTCCAGTAGGAGGAAGCTGCCACTATGGTAGGATTCTAATACTTATCTCTACTCCACTTCCAGTAAAGTCTAGTTCAAAGTTGCACCTTTAGTCTTGTGGTAATAATTAGTAGTATTAGTGTATTACTATTTGATAATCTACTGATACTTAACTTACATTCACACTAAAGCAGCACCATTAATGTGTTGGGAACAAGATGAATCATAGTAGGTCGTGTAATGAGTTCTTTAGACCTGAACGATTCCAAAATAGTAGCTGCCTAAGTAGATATACATATCTACGTCAATAATAAAAATAAGTGCAACTAACCAATTAGACTGTACTTTCCACATGACATACTTACAAAGAACCTTAGCATCAGCTACTATAAACTGAATTTGCCCTTCAAATTTTTATTAAAGACTAAGCAAGACCACCAAAATAGTCTCATTTGACATAAAACGAATATCAAAAGTCATTAATTTTGCTGCAAGATCATACCTTAATTGCTACATCAGCACACGTTCTTGATCGGTTGTGCAGCAGTTGGACCTCATGCATGCACCAACAAATAATGAGTGAATTAAAATTAGTATCCTAGCTCTCTACATACAATGTAGCTACATGATGACTCAGACACTTAGTCCACCCAAATGACTGTAGGCTGGGGAATGGTCTGGCTAGGGAGACTATCAGACACTGCATGGCCCCTTTGACTTTGTCCCAGTAGTCAGTCTATACAAATGCTGCCTCAAGTGCCATTGAAACCAACACAATTTGCTGTGATGACTGTATAACTGGTTAAATGTGAACCTCAATTTGAAGCAAAAGAAGAAAATGAAGTCCATTTTGTAGCAAGGCTATCACGTGATGTGTCTATTTTTTATAGATACAGTCTACTTATCTAAATTAAAACATCAAAAGATTAACAAGACAAAAAATTGAGCAGTAGATCTAAAAAATAATATCTAGGAAAAAATATATAAAATCAAATAATTCAATATAAATTCAGCACAAGAATAAGAAATTTAGAGAAAAGTTTTTTCAGACTCTTTAAGCATATTTTCTGCAGGTATAAGACCAAAACTTTCAACTTTGCTTTCTCCTTCTTTCATAACGTTATCTATGTCACTTTCACTTTCATCATTACTGTCAGAGTCTTGAGCAAATTTTAATTTGATACTGTGGACTGAACCTATATTTTTAATCAAAAATTAATAATTATGTGTTCATTATTCAACTAGAGTTTAAGCTAGAATTACCTTCAGGATTAGGAGGAGTATGTTTATCATAATATAGATTCTCAACAGTAAAATCATCATCATCATTTTTCTTTAAAACCTTATTGGACTTTTTTCTATAGCTATTGAACACAATATCCATATATGCATTAATTAAGGTCAATTTACCATATAAGACAGGCCACACTGATTACTATTATTACGATGAGTAAGGTTCCAATTAAAACACCAATTGTTATTCCTGCTATTTGTCCAGCAGATAGTCCATCATCTGTAGGAGTTGCTGAAGCAGTAGGAGTCACTACAATAGTAGTTGATGGTGGATTTAGTAATGTAAGACTAGCAATTGTAAACCCAGCATTAGCATATCTTGAATCAGCTGCCTGTATAAAATATATTCAATACCTCATTACTGTGAGTACCATAATGTTACAGTACCCTGCATGTGTATCACTTTCATGGTATTAAAAATTATACTTTCATGCAATTAAAACTTTATAAATCCATTATTAGCTTGCCTTTATAGCTGCCACTACAGCATTGGGATCAATGGGATTTCCAGACTGTCCTTTGATGTAAAAAATCACTCTTAGTCCATTACTTGTTTCAGTTGTTTCAGTAATAACTATATCATCAGGTTCTATCATAGTATTTGTTGCTGTCCTATAATAATAAATGGTATAATAGTTATTTGTCAATACAG